TAGCGATCGAGTGATCGATGGTGACATAGTGGTAAACACTTCGGAAAAGCCGAGGACTAGCCGACTTCTCTTTGGATGATAATTTTAGAAGACATGTGATTTTACCGACTTTGTTCCGGAAGGATAATAAGCCTAGCAACCTCTTCCTTTATTGCCTCTACCTCCTTTCGATGATTTTGCTCAAGCGAGAACCCTTTTTTTTTTGTTTTTCATCTTTTTTTTTGCTCTAATGTACTTGAATGTACAAGGGAAATGCGATTTTAGTAGGTCGACCTATGTTTCTACTTAGATAAAAAGACAACAAATACAAGATGTAGACAATATTCAAAATAAAATGACACTCGAGACCGAATATGAAATAACCATCATGTGGGGTCGATAAGAGGATCTAATCATTGATTCTTTGACATTATCCCAAATAGATTTCAAGATGAGATTAGGTTTCATTAGTAACCCTTGACATATTCGACCAAGCTTTGAAACTTCTTTGGTATTCAAACATTACCGAAACTAAACTTAAATCCTCTTATCACTCATCCCGAAACAACGAGACCCGATTGCTCGATCCGAGGTTTTGATACATCGACTTGCCTAGTGACATTTACCGAGTACGATCCTAGGGTCTAGTTCTACGTCATTACGTGAATGAGATAGGATCTATCTAACTCTCAAAAGGGTCCCTTCAAGCTCGATGAAACATAATAGAATTGTTAGGGTTGCTAAAGGTGATGATTGGTAAGTGTGAAAAATCATCAATTACCCATCGCTCATTAGCGACTAGTAAGAAGAGTTGAGATTTCGTGAGTGTTACACGGGGTGAAACCCATCAAGGCACCACTTCTACCTCCCTAAGTCTTAAGGCAAGTGTGTAATAAAGAGTAATAGTGAGTGTAGTGTGTGCATAGGCATTATTTCATATCCGAGTCCCAAAAACTAAAATAAAGACATGAAAAGAAATGAAAAAAAAGTGAGCAAAAATAAAAATAGAAGGCAAACAATGACGAAACGCATGAATTTATACGAGGTAGGCAAACTACACAAATCGGTATACAAGCATAAAAATTTATCATATCATTAGAAATCAAATTCCAAAATTTCATGCAAAGCCTAACCTTAAGTATGTCCCCAAACAAGGCGACATCGAGGGCGAGGACAACGAATTTAGGAAAAAAAATGAAAAATGGGTAAAAAATAATTAGAGTCGTCACCTAGTATTACGATTACTAGGAAATCATGTAATCGGTCCGATCGAGTTTTATGTAAGAGGTTTATTATTTATAGGGAAGATAAAAAATCACCCTATCCCTCTTGCCTAAGGTAAGCTACATTGATAAAATTGGCAAAAATCGACGAAATAGGCAATTAGGCAAAATTGATAAAATTGGCAAAAATCAACAAAATTGACAAAGGCTATAAAAACAATAAAAATGACAAAATTGGCAAAATTGATAAAAATGACAAATATCATTAAAGTTGACGAAAATGATCTAAAAGCAAGATTAAGATTGACAAGACTTCAAAAGTTGTGATTTTCGGACGAAATCGACAAATTCATTAAAATTACCAAAAATGAGCAAAAAATAAGATTCGAGATCGACATAACGCAAAAATCATATTTTTGGATAAAATTAGCACAATATCAAAATAATCATCACAAATCACAACAACGGTCCAAAAATGATATTTGAACTCACGTGGTTCGAAAATCACATTTTTTAGGTGAGTTGGCAACGAGGTCGAAATTAATCATTATTTTAATAAAAGTGGCCAAACAATAGGGTTCAAAATTGTATTTCTTATATAAAACTAACACGTCAATAATTTAACGTTACCATTAGCAAAAAATGTCCAAAAACAAGGTCTAGAACACTACAAGGCATTATATGATAACAACTAAATATTTATAGAATAATAAACACATCAATCAAACCACATTAGCATAACAACAATCATTACACAACCTTAACCATGATTCAAAGTTGCATAACCATAAGAGCAATTTAATTAATTTGCAAAGCAATGACGACTTAATTAATTACAAACACATCGAGCACAAATCAAATTTAATATACATTACAAAAATAATAATAAAATAAAAGTTAAAAATAAATGAATTACTATAAAAGGCGAGCCGAATTGGAATGTTGAATTGGGGTTAGTTCGACCTTTTCAACCTCGATGGAGGCCGATATTCGATCAATCGAAAAGAAATACGACTATCCGTTGTCGGATCTAGATTCGAACAATTGTTGGTTGGTGGAGGAGCAACTAGGCCGGTTAGGGTTGCTTGGTCGGTTTGAAGTCTGCTGTAGGGAAGAGGTCAAGCGACTAAAGGCTGCTTGTCGGGCGGCTTCGATGCGAATCGAGTCGTTGATCAAGCTCGACTAATCGGATTGGTGAAGGAGGAGGAGAAGTTGCATCGAAAAGTGGTCGGCTAGGTTAGATCGCGTTAGAAAGTGGTGGGATGATGACTGGACATCGAGCAACTGCTAGCTCGATCGGAGCTGTTGTTGGAGAGGAAGTCGATGGTCGAAGGTCGTTGATCGAGCTCAATCGGCTTCGGTTTGATCCGGTCGACATTAGTTTGATCGGTCTTGTTGCTGAAAAGAAACCAAGGCGACGGGAGGCTTGAGCATGGTCGGTTGGAATAAGGTTAGCCCACGAACAAAACACCTGCAGCTTTGAGTGGAAAAGGCTGTGAAGGAGGTTCATTCGACGGTGGAAAAGGAGCTGGCTTCTTTTTTTTAGAGCAAAGGCTCGATCGAATTTTGGTTTTGTGAGATAGGGTGGATGCCAATTTTTAGAAAGAGAAGTGGTGAAAAGTTTTTAGAAAAATGGGTTTTTATATTGTTTTTTTTTTTTTTTGGCTAAGTTTGGTTTGGTTCTTCATCTCATAAACTCACTTTATTTTGATCCCTTTTCCCTCTCATTTTTTAATCACATCCCTTGATTATATTTTTTCAATCCCTTTTTTTCTTTCTTTTTTTTAGAAAAATTTGGGTGCTGATAGCTTGGTCAAAGTCGGCCGGATGTTTGTAGTCTCTCACCTAGTTTGCTTGCCACATGGGGTACCTCTTGGTTACTACTAATTCGTGATCCACTTGTTCATCTACTCATTATTCTCAAAGTTAACCAATCTTGTAAAACCTATTCGAGGAGCTCAAAAGTGGCATCATTCTCAAGCTTTCCTTTAAATATATTTAGGCCATATTTCTAAGGACAACTTATTCATAACCCGAGTTGTCTTGATACCATGGAGGGAGCATAACAAGTATATCTAGTTGATCCTATTAGAGAGAACTAGAGTCGTGCTCCACGATAAGCTAGATATGGTCTTCGATTCATCGAAACTATCTTCCATGAAAAACCTCCGATTGATGAACTCATAAATGATGAAAACCACTCCCGTTCGGACTTGTTTTTCCATGTGCTAGCTACGAACTCTTTCAATAGTTCTTAATCAATCCATCAACACATCTTAAAAATTGATTTATGGGCTTCGATATGGCTGATTACCCACACAAAGAGCAACCGAACACAACATTTCACACTTCCTTTCCCGGACCTTTTATAGTGACTCAATGAGAAGAAGGTTTTGGCTAGAATAACGATAGTAGGATTTATGGAGTGCTTCTCTATCTCAATAAAGATGTTGGTCGTATCTAGATTGATTAAACCAATTGATGAGGGGAAAAGCATTAACCCAAAATCATAAATGCTAGAATTTTAATTCATTTAGAGATAGCTCTTAGATCCTTCAATTTTTGTTTTAACACATCCAACCGAGCTTCTAAAGTGCCGACCTTCGACATTCCCCTTACCCTTACCATGAATCAATAAAGAGAAATCATTTGATTGCCTTTGGTATAGATAGACACGATGTAGAGTGCTCAACATGTTTAAAAGTTGATGGTACTCCTCCAAGGTTGGTGTCACATCTAGTCTCCTTATAATAAAATATCTACATGAGGGGTCCCATAGGTAGGCTAAGGCCTTGAGAGTAGGCTTCTAAACTGGTATTTCTAGCAAGACTATGAGATTTCCATATTTAGCTCGGAACCTATATTAGTCATCGGGGCTCGGTATTTTCCAACGGTTAAATAGTCTTTGAGTGTCATTGATCACTAGTTAGAAGTGTATGATCTTCCTATAGGGAGACTAGATGGGCAAAATTCGGCAATTAGACAAACATAGGCAAACATCGATAATTAGGGCAAACATAGGCCAAAAAACAAATCGACAATGTAGGCAAACATGGGCAAAAATTGATAATTTCAGCAAGCATAGGCTAAATCGACAAAAGGCAAAAATCGACAATTAGGCCAAAATCAACAAAAGGAAAAGATAGACGATTAGACCAAAATCGACAAAAAAATTGACAATTGGACTAAAATTGATAAAAGGCATACATAATTGGTTGTGCTTTTTAAAACGAATTCGCATGACAAAGTCCAAACTTACTTGATTCGAGGTTGCATTTTTTTTATAAAAAAACCTCTATGCAATTAATTTAATTTTATTATTGATAAAATGACTCCAAGAACATGATTGGAACCAACATGTTTTTTATGTTTCTTTTTTAAACTAATAATAATAGAAGGAATGCACAAAGCAACGGTAAGCATCGGAACACATCCAAGCAACATCAATCATCTAACCATCACCAATGCAATAACAACTTAATTTAAACATGTACCACCACAATTTAGATAAATCACACATGAACAACAAATTAAATTAAGTATATAACACAATTACGGACACATATTAATATGAATCGAATTTAATACATGTTAAAATAAAAAAATAAAATAAATTTAAAAGTTAAAAATAGATTATTATATATAGAAGGTGGATTGGTTCGTTGAACTAGGATTCGCTCGGACTTTTTCAACCTTAATAGAGACTAATGTTTAGTCAATTGGGAAGGAAAGCGGGTTGTTAGTGACTCGGATCTAACGGAATGGCATGGAGAGGCATCTAACTAGTACCGACCAAAGTTGTTGGATACGAAATAGTGGTCGATGAAGGTGGCGCACACAACAAGGCCGACTCGTACTATCCGGCTAGTTACCGGAGGAGAGATGCTAGCGTACTAGGGTTGGCGGGAGAGCGTGCGCACGGAGGTTGGCTTGTGGGTACACGAGGACTGGCCTTTAGAAGGTTATGGTGCACTCGTTGGCATGTGTACGGGAGTTCAAAGTTGGAGGAGGCACACGAGTGAGGCTCGGCGTGTGGGCCGTGGGAGCCGAAGGGTGGCTCGGTGTTGTGGGGCTAAGGCATGTACGATTGGCCTAGATCCGTTGGTTGTGGGTGCTTGGAAGAGGGTAAGGCTAGTAGCTCGGAGCTACGGGTTGTGGGTGCTCGGCGGCATCTAGCCTAGCGAGGGGAAGGTATGCAAGAACTAGCCTGTGGGCATGCAAGGGCTCAGTGCGGTGGGACATATGGGTGGAGCCATCACTAGTGGGTGAGAGGGAGAAGCTTTGGGCGTAAAGGCTATAGGCGAGAGAGAGAGGGTTGCTTGGGTAGTGGCAGTTGGAAGTTTTTTTAGAGGGATGAACTCGTAGCTAGTGGTCTTTTTACGCCAAAAGAGGGGCTTTTATATTAGGTTTTTAGGGTTTTTGACTAAAATTTGATTTGGTCTTGCATCTCACAAACTCGCCTTATTTCAATCCTTTTATTCTCTCCTTTTTAATTACATCCCCAATTGTATTTATTTATTTATTACTCCCTTTTGTTTTTATTTTTATTCATCTTTTTATTTTCTTTTTTTAAAAAAAAAATTGGGTGCTAACACAAGCCAGCCGGACATTATGTTTTTTTATGTCATTACTAAGTATGGTTATAGTCGCGAAAGCCAAACTATGACGGACAAGTCCTAAATATCGACCCAAAATGCACTATAAATTTCACATTTTACCTTTTTAGTTAAATTATTTGGTCCGAATGATCTAGATCTATGACACTCAATTTTCTCAAATTCCTTTTCTATTAGTACGTACAAGTTTATTTAAATATTACTCGTTATTCAGTATTTAATTTCTTTTATTCTCATTAGTTGCCATTTATTACAATTATTTTCTTACTACTTTTATTATCTTATTTTATTATTAATGTTAACATGTAAGAAATCAAATTATAGGAATTACACTAACTATGATTACACTACTATCTTACTATCACTATTTTGATTAATATACGAAGTCGTCTTTAATTTACATAAACCAATTTGAAGCCACCTACTACAAAAATAGCTTATTATTTATTTACATCTCGTTTCATTTCTAACTAGCTACTCTCTTTTTCATGGCTTTAACTATCATATAAAAGAACGAAGCCATACCTAGAAAATATACCAAAATACTAAGCATTAAAATAACTATGGTCTAGAAAGGGTCCACCTTGCAGCTAGCAGACCAAGAAACACATGGCGCACTATCTCATTAATAGTCAACTCAAATGTAAACATTGTCATCTTTACCTTTAGTGCCTACACCATAAGAAATTAGTGAGCAATTTCTCGGTAAGTTAAGCTATGCATAACGTGAATATATAAGCACATGAGATGCACATGAAAATCATTTTCATGTCTTCTCCGAAATCCTTTTTCATGTCATAAAATTCTCATCATGATTATTCCGAAACAAAAATCTTTTCTATTTTTAGACATGTCCCATCTTCGAACTCTAAGGTTTCCATAATATGTCTATAGAACCAAACCCGATCTGCAGATGCATCCAATCGAGTATCTAAAAGTTCACGTCTATGCCCACTCGACCTTGAGTTGTAAGCCATGTAAGGCATGAAAACCCCATGAAGCTCACCTCGTAAAATCATGAAATTCATGAAATTCTTATAACCATGAAATACTTTCACTCACTATTAGAAAATTCTTAAAAAAAAAAAATTCCTTTTTCATGACTTAAAACTTGGCATGCATATGCATTTTAATATAAATGCATAAGTAGCATGTGCTCATATGCATGCCATGAATAGTGTGCATTTATTCCATAGTAGTGCATACCTAAATTCTATAAATGCACTACCTTGCATTGCCATTCCAATTCAATCCAAACCATGGAAAACATCACATAATCATACACTAGCAACATTGCTCAATACATGGCATTGCACTTCCAATCATCCAGTTCATACGAAATCACATATTCACATTCAATGGCCATATATAAACTAAATTGCAACTAAGTCATATAAAATAAACCATAAATGCTAAACTCCTTAACGTTGGCTGAATGTGTCACCAATTTAGGCTAGGTGAATTTTTCCAATTTTAATGCTAATTGCTCATGCTAATTCATTCAAATACATTTTAATATGAAAAATTTAATCGGTTAAGCATTTATAAACTAATAGCATGCAAAACCCTAAATTTGGGCCAAATGGACCGAAACCCTACTTCTAGTAACCCGGATTAATTTTTCAATTTCAATAAAAATTTTCACATTAATTCATCTTTTTACATTATAATAACTTGAAATCAACTAATTAAACAATCAAAAATAGAAAACATGGAAACCCTACATTTTTCCTAAATTAGGCTAAATGTTGGGCTTAAAGTAACCGAGGGAAATTTTCAATTTTTACGTAATTTCTCATGCTCAATCATCAAATAACACATAATCAAGCTATAATTCATCAAACAAATCAAAGAATCAAAGACCTTAAAATTTGCATTTTGGGTCGAATGTTCCTAACAAAATTAAACTAAGAAATTTTGTTTCTAACACCTATTTTCATGCTTAATTGATATACTCTAACTTCAATTTCGTGAATTTTTAAGTTAAAATCATTTTCGCCAAATTTTCCTCACCAACAATCCTAACCTTAATTTTCAAAATTAATTCAATTAAACATCAATTAACGGTTTTGAAATCATAATTAACGTTCAATAACACTTCCTGGGGGTGTAGGTGAGATTAACTTACCTAGATAACTCCAATTAAACCTTGAAAAATTGAATTACCTTGGAATTTCTTCCTCCCCATTTTATCCTCAAAGTTTTGGCCAACACACCAATTTTTCTTTCTTAGAGTATTTTATGTTCTAACTTGATTTCTATACTTAATTAGGTGTTTTAGGGTGTTTAGAAGTGTTCGGATGAAAATCTAAGTGGAATCCTATGGAAAATTTGCAAGAGGTTGCCCTAATTTTTTCAATTTTTTCTAACCATTTTCAATTTCTCTACCACCCATATTTATAGGTAAGAGCAGGTAGACTTTTTCCTTGGTTGACTCCATCTCCACCCTTCATTTGGTTTGATCTTGGCCCATGATCTTTCTCTTAACCTCATCCCTTCATTTGGGATAATCTTTAACCATTCACTCTTTCTTTAATTTTTACCCTTCCATCTAACCATCCATTTTAAACCTTAACCCTCCATTTTTGCATGCATTAATTACACCCAAATAATTGAGTGAGAGTGATGGCAAGAAGAGGAGAAAATCTCTCTAAAAAATTGCTTAATTTTAGTTCCTTAATTTACTAAAATTTTCTTCAATTACTCTTTCACAAGTCCTCCAATTATTCAATTGATTTCTTTAGGCCCTTTGTGTAAAAGTTTTCTAACAAATTTTTACTTCCTAAATTTTAATCCTAATTTAATTTAAAAGTTTAAACTTTTAATTTTATGCAATTAGATCTCTAATCTATGTAATTAGGTTCCTACTTCTATAAACTTTATTCCATACTTTTTCAAAAATTAATTTCTTTCCATAGTAAATTCAAACACCTCCTCTAAGAATTTATTCACCATTCACATAATTTTTATGCACTTATTTAAACTCTTAAATTAATTATTTTGGGTAAAAATACACTTATTACTTTAGAAAATATTCTTTATGTTTAGAAAAATTCATCTAAGTTCATAGAATATTCCTACACCTCCTTAATAATTTTTCTATACCCATTGGATAATTTTCTTGCACTTTTAAAACACTCAAAATAGTTAATTTACCTAGAAAACGCTATTCATGCACTCGAAAAGTTCAAATAAAATAGTCACCGAACATAAAAAATTCATCTAATGATATAGAATAATCTAGCACCCCTCTAGCAAATATTCTATGCAAACAAAATTTTTTCAAGGCATTTAAAATGCTCAAAGCATTTATTTTGCATAAAAAGTTACTATTCAAAAATTGAAATTCGATAAAATATTCACTCGACGATCGAAAAATTATCCTAAGTACATGAATATTCTAGCAACCTTATAATAATTATTCCATATTCATGAATTAATTTTCTCACAACTTTAATATATTTTTATTCTATTTAATAATAGTTCGGGTTATTAAACCTTTCCATCCTTATAAAAAATTTCGTCCTCAAAATTCCTAATTAAACAACTCGGGATACGGAGCTTGCATTTCTACTTCTCTTTCCCAAGTTGCTTCCTCAACTTCATGGTTTCTCCAAGATACTTTCACTAAAGAGACTTCTTTATTTCATAACTTCTTAACTTCTCGATCTAATATTTGTATTGGTCATAAAAGATCATGCATCCTATGGAAGTACGAAATAAACAAAAAAATTTCTCCATCTAAAGGGCTCAAGATCATATAGTTGAATCAACTAACTATATATACATGAATTAAAGTAATGAATAGAGAATTGCCTCTTGTAACATAAATCTAAATTCTTTAGTGGAAAAACCGTCCAAGTGTCGAGCCTCTATTGATGATCCACACGAGTCCAAGCATCCATTAAGAAGCACTTAAAATTGGTAGAGTGCTAGCTTCACTTTTTTGTATTTATGTAGTGTTTTCTATAGAAATCTAATCCGGGTAATTTTACGACAACCTAAGAGAAGAGGGAGAAAGAGTGGTGCGCTAAGGTTTTTGAAAAAAACTATTTTTCCCTTTTTTTCTTTATTGGCTAAATTCTTTCTCCCCCAAAATCTTATTCTTTATGATGCACCTCTCCTCCTATTTATAGGGGGAGAGTTTCCTCATTCTCCAAGGATAAGGAGAGGGGGCAAATAAGTCCTAATTGAACTTATGGTTGTTGTTTCCTAATCCTTCAAAGATTAGGAGTTATTTTACATGCAAGCTTTTTTATCTTTATCTTAAAAAAATTTATCCTTATCCAATAAGGTTGATATTTTTCCTCCCACTAAAATATCTTAAGGCTTTTCAGGTAAACCTATTGGGTCAAACCCATTCCGGCCTAATTAATTTATCTAAACAATCCAAATAAATAATCTTA